TCCCCAAGGTAACCGACAGACAAACCAGGACTGTGAGAAAATACTGGTGGCCAAGCAGCATCATAGGAGCAGAGAGGCTTGATGATGCTGCTTGGCCTGCTGTGTTCATCCAGCCCTGCACCTTGTTGTCTCGGATTCTCCAGCATCTGCAGTTCCTACTATCTCTGATTCGATAATTGTAAATGTGTTAGTCATTCCATCAAGAGTTAAGATGTTGCTGAAACTTTGCTCCTGGCACCTTCTAAATCTGAGGATGTAACATGACACTGCAATCAATCTGCATTTCTATCTATTTCTATTCGTTTCATTTGGGGATACAGATCATTGAATACAATTTTGTTATTCAATGGTCTTTCATTTGCATAACTTAACCAAGCATAGAGACTGGGATCGGTCATTGACTATCCTTAATGCTTACAATTGCCTCAGCTAATGGTCCAAAAGTAGCATATTTGAATCATCGCCACTGTCTTATTGCAAATTTCCATCCATGACACTTTAGAACCATTATTATAAATTTATGTTTAAATTGGCAACTTGGTAAGGAATCAGACATAGTGGCATTCCTTTTGTAACCCAAAATTATTTATTCACATTTGTACTCTAAATAATGTACTAGTAACTGGAAACAAGCTAAGTGATAAATTATCTTAATTTTTACCAGCAGCGTAAACTACTAGAAATCCTAGTTACACCTACACACATATTAGAGCTCAGAGCTCAGAGCACAGAAACAGGCTATCTAGCCCAAATAATCTATCATGATCTTTCCCTTCCATGTGAGCCTTCTTCCATGTTATTTTTCCTAACCAAATTAGTACATTTTTCCGTTCTTTTATCTCTCGTGTCATACATCGAACTTGCCCTGAAATGCAGTAATGCTTTATACCTCATTTTGGAATTTGTTAATTTCTGTCTAATGTCTTTGACCTTTGTTTTGGATTCTCCTACAAGTACAAACATCTTTTAAAGAACCCATTAGGTCACTCTCATCTTTATCTGTCCTAAATAAAAGAACACCAAATATTCAGTCTTTCCCGATAGATACAAGATCTCAGTTACGAGTAGATTTTTTATTTGCATCTTCACCAGTGCCTCTACATTCTTTAGAGGATGTGGTGACCAAAGTGTTGTTTATTCTGAATCAAATCACAAAATAAGTCATTCTAACTTTATCTCAATGCTACAAATGGTATAAATAGAGTATATAATTTATAGCTCACAGAAGTAGAATTTATCTTAAAACAATTTGAAAGGCTAGAATTCAACATAACACCAAGGTTGAAAAGAGTAAAATTGATGAGGTTGTTCAAGTAGGGACTAGTGATGTTAAGTTTTAATTTTAAAGAAAAACCTGAAGATTGTGGCAGAAAACATACAGAAAGAGAGAGAGAGAGAGAGAATAAGGAGCTGAATCTTTCTCCTGGGGTCAGGACCCAGGTGTCAAAATGATTTCCTGGTCCTGACCCCACTCCCTGATCACACATGACTACCAACGTAATTTTTAATGAGGTGGCCAATTAGTCAGCAGATAGTGCAATCACTGACCAATTAAAGAGGTGGAAGCTGGATGTGGCTGTCTCAATGTAAAGAGTGAACAGCAGCCATTATTGCAGGAGCAGAGTTCCTGAAGGACATAAGCGAGAGATAGGAGGACAGCAGGCTGGTAGCAGGTCAGACGGTCACAATTTTCAAGCAGCTCCCTTGGAGGTCTCTGGAAGTGGTGGCTGAAGAGAGGAGCAAGTAGCAGAAGAAAACCAGCCATTCGGATGAAGCTGCTATGGAGGTGGGGGTCTTGTGAAATAAACAGCCATGGGAGGTGATAGAAGTCAAGGCAGGTGCAGGCAGTCCACCTTTTAGAAAATGTAGGTCAGACACAACCGTGTGTAGCCTGTGGAAGGTGTATAACCTCTCTGGTGCCAGATACAAAGTGAGTCTTCATGGAGAAACAGTGGCAGACTGTGTGATGAAATATCAAGGCAGTCCAGGATCATGGGCTGAGAATACTGGGGTTTGGGCATGTGAGCTCACCCTTTGAGTAGTGGCTGTCAGAATACAGTCAGGAGGAGTGCAGCAACATACACAAAACGAAAGCCACACTCTGTTCCACTGACCAGTCATTGAAACATTAAAAAAAAATAGAAAATAGGAACATGA